GGGAGGGGGAGGCTTCGGCCGGGTAAGAAACCCTCTGCCGGGCACCGGTGGAGGGATGCCTGCTCTGTTTGTGAGTGGAAGTCCCAGGAGCTACGTATTTAGTTTGAGGTTTGCCCGGGTGTTTCTCGGGAGCCTTTGATCTCCGCGTCTGCAGCTCAATAGTCACTTCGGGACTCGGTTCTTTGTATCGCCCTGCCGCCCTCAGCAGGCGCAGGATCCTGCTCCAGCAGATCTCAGGCATCAGTTCTTGTCGGCTTCTTTCTGCCCCGTACTGTCTTGCAATTACGCTTGAGGTAAAGCCAGTAATTCAGTAGCAGTGATGTCGTCCTTTCAACAACTTCCCTAATGCCTTAACGAGAAATAAGTTTAGGACCATCTTCAAATTGAGTTCAAATTCTGCGAAACTGGAGTTCATCCTTAAGGGATACCGTGCTAAACACGTTGGTGGCAGGTGAGTGGCCACGGTGCAATGGGAGTTCTGGGGACAGGGAGAGAGAATCCTCCCAAACATGTTTCCCCACTCCCTGCCTAGTTTGTGCAGAAGGCAAGGGTGATCTGGCAACCAGAGTAGACTGGTCTTCAAATTAATGGCTCAAAAGTAGACTCTCCGTATGATTTTGTGCACACTGCTTCATTTCTTGTATTTCATTTCTCTGTAAAGTGAGAAATTAACATGTGCCCACTTACTAAACAAAATCATTTTTTTTGACGTATCTCTATTAAGCAGAACCTGGGACAGAAAGTTGTGGCGTTGCTATTCTCCATTTGGCAGATCTGAATGTGGTGTGAAGAGGGGCTGGGCTGGATTTAGGAAAGATTGCAAATGCCTTGTCGAGTGCAGTAGTTCTTCATATCTGCAGTTTATTTTTAAATTCTCTGCTCTTTTACACTGAGTGCTTTAATAGTCTTCCCTGTGCCTTAAGGGAAATGGACAGGCTGTTCAGCTGGATGATGGGATAGACCTCAATCCATTTTTAAACTGGATTTTGTGTTTTTAATAGCATTTTTCCTCTCTTACTAATTAGTCTGATAATTCAGTAGTTCATAGGACTTTTAGAACATCAAGCAGAACTTGGTTTTCTTAGAGCAAGTGTTTAGTAATGTCCTAGTTCAGCATTCCTTATCAAAGGTTATTGATAGCTATGGGCACAAAAAGGTTAGGTATAGTTACTCTATTACCATGTTATATTCCTTATATTTTAAGGTTAATTAAAGAATTTTGGATTTTGTTGCCAGTTGGAGTACTGAGGAGTGCTAAAGTCATCTTTGAATGGGCTGCTCAGAGTAATTGAGATTAGTTAGAGGACTGTTTGCTAAGTAAAGCCCAAATGCCCTGACATTCTTTATACACTAGAAATGATACACTTTCTTCATATTTTTATTTACTTTAGCTTAGCACTTGCCTGCATTGAACCATAGATCTCTTTAGAATAAATTTATGATTCTTTGTTTTTTGGGGTTTTTTTTCCCCTTCCCCTAGAACTGCCAGATCTATACTGAATCTTGCATGTGTAAAGGACTACCTCTTTCTGACCTGGTCGTTATCCTTGAGAAACTGTTGAAACCTTAAGAAAATGGTAAGTATTGTGGTTTTTTTGGTTTTTTTTTTTTTGGAAGTTACAATGCAGAAAGCTGTTTAATGCATTAAAGTGTATCCCAAGAACATTTGAACAGTTATTTTTAAGTTAATGGTTGAGTGTGGCATATAGTTTCTAGTTTAATCCAGCTATTGCCACATGCAAATATTTGAATTTACAGTCTTACCTCATAGAGTCTTACGTCTTTGTAATTTAAGTGCATTGTTGGGTGCTCTGAAATTATTGTTTTCTCCTAATTGTTATTTTTTGAAATAAATCAGAAAAGGAATCAAAAGGGTTACATGCTTGTTCGGATTCCAGCCTATGCTTGAACCAAAAGAGCACATTAGTTCTTTGGGTGAAAAAGATCAGTAAAAAGATATTTTTCTTCTCAATGGTTCTAAATGTCTTTTGCATTTGCTTTTATTTGGCTCCGTTTAAAATTTATGGTTTTAAGTTAATATTAAAGCATTAGTCTTCTAGTATTATCTTGCTATGTATTAACCATTTAGCCTTAGTAAGTATGGACAAGCATTTCTAAGTAAGGGGGGAAAATGGCAGTAGTACATACATCTTGATCTCAGTTTTTCAAACTCTTATGCCCGTACTTCATTTTAAGTACAAATTCAGTAGAACTCCCATCTTGCCCAAATAAACCAAGAGGTATGTGATCATAACTTTTCTTATCCTGGTAGTGGTACTTATCATTAGTCTCCTATTTGGCTCAGAACACAGATAAAGTTTGTTAGCATATAATTGTTTCAGAAACTTTGTCCTTCTATTTTATTCACCATATCCCACTTTAACTCATTGTAAAATTTAAGATTTACTCTTAATATTGATTGGGGGTTTTTAATTATGCATATTTTGAAAGGCTTACCTGCTACCAAATACTACTTCTAATGTGAATTTTAAAAAAATCTTACAACAGAACTGATGTTCAGAAAGAGCTGAAAGAATCACTTAAGCATGTTAACTTGAGTAATGTGAAAATAAAATAACCTGCTATGTGTTTGGATTGGCAGAAACATCTCTGTGCCTTGCTGAGATGCAGGCTGTCACAGAATTATAACTTATTTTATTCAGCATACTTCAATATTCTTGTTGTAATACTTTGGATGGTGATCAAGGAAAATAGTAAGAGTGGTAAGAGTTTTCTTCAAAAGTCCTGTAAGCACTGTGCACTCAGGAACATAATCTCTAGGAAGAATTATTTTTTAAAAATCAATTGGAAAGTAGCCACATTCTTTAGTCCTATTCCCTTGTTATTGCTGTCCCCCACTCTAAGCCCATACATGCACAAAGGAAACATCCTAAGGACTGAAGTAGCGTTTAATCCTATGCCACAATCTGGTTTGAGAACCAGTAAGTTTGCAACCTGTGGGCTGTACTGGATATCTTCCTTCAAAGTGAAAATTGGTCTTTATAATGATGTCAGCAATTTTGTATTTAGAACCACTATACTCTATAAACCTTAAATTACTGCTTTTCTATGTGTAAGCTGTTGACAATGAAAAATGGCCAGACACTTGGATTTGAAGGAAGGTAGAGTGCTTTGCTGTTTGGCCGAGCTGTTAGTAGTAAGGGAAATAAGAATCCAAGGTTCCCTGGAAGCCTGCCTGCTCCATGTGACAGCGTAGCTTCTACCCTAGCACTGATTAATAGGGAATACCTGATTAATAGGGAATTACTGGCCATTAAAAGTGGGCTAGATCAATTGTGCAGATCACTGGAGAGTGAGTGCTCAACTACCAATTAAGTGATGAAACTTATCCAGTTCTCTTTTGAGACAGTTTCTGAGTACTAGGTGTATGGTCATGTATGTTAATATGAGCTTATTTGAAAAAAAAACCAAAACAAAACTATATAACACCACTCCTCCTTCGCTATTTTTCTGTCCTAATATGCTGTTTGATAGGAAGACATTTTCACACCAGGTGCAGATTGACTTTGCAGCCTTACAAACAACACTGCAGCAAAGTTCACAGCTGACAAAAGAGCTGTTCAGCACAAAAATAAACATTTTTAAATGAGCTGATGCCTTGAATTCTGTTCCTACTGATGCTAATAACAGTGTCCGCGTCTTATTTTCCCTTATAATGAACACTAAGCAACAATATTTTTGACATTTTCAGTGGAGAGGCAAAAGGTTCTGTAGCGTGAAGACTGTTGCATAAGCTGTGTATTGTAAGGCATTTTGGCAGGGGTACAAACTTTTTCACTCTGTGCTATATCTGTTCTGTGTATACAGAGAAACTCAGTCCCTAGGGCTATCAATCTGGCATCTTTCATCAGCACTGAATTTACTGCAAATGTTTTTTTGGTGCATGCAAAAAAAAGTGCTATTAAACCTTTGTGGACAGGAGTAAAAACATTCAAATAGGTGTATCTTCTGTTTACTTCTCTCAGAATTCCTCTTCATTGAATTCTGATGAGCACATTCTGCTGACTTTCAAATTCAGTCAGCCCGTGTTTGTGTGTATATCTTGTCTTAAGTCTTTATTCCGAACACTTTGGCAACGTTATCTTGCTCAAGAGCTTGCCATGCTAAAGATTTTTTTACTTATCTACTTACTGTGTAACTGTGATGTATTGAAAATGTGTTGGTAACTTATAAGGAAAGTGTAAAGGAGAAATTATGTTAATATCAAATAATTCTGTAGACAAATTTTGGTGTGTTGCATGCTCACTTTTTAGGAACAAAGTTGCTTAGGAGCATGAAGTTTTTTCGACTGTTCTTCAAATAACACCGCTCCATCTGTCCACACTGAACTACCAACATGTGGCCTTATAATCTGAGCTTTAACACTGCTTTTCTCTGTCCATGGGATTCATTTAATTTTGTTGGTTTATTTTGTTTGGAAAAAGAATATTACACTGCAGGGCAAACTGAAATTAATTCAAAATAATGTTGGGATTTAAAAAAAAAAACCAACAAACTAATCCTGGTATTTGTTTTATCTTTGTAATATGAGCATGTTAGAAAGATTATTTTTTTTAGGTTCACTTGATGAATATGTCATTGAAGTAATATGGAAATTTGTAGTGTACATGTTCAAGGTTCTTTGCTAATAGTTAAAACTTGGAATTTTGGTACTTTTAGCCTCCAAGTGAGCATTTCGGCTAGACCTGCATCACAGTTCAGGTGGTGTTCATTCTGTTGTTACAGTGTTACGGTTGACTAATGGCAAAATAAACAAACTGGGGTGCATCTGTCCTGAAACTTAGAACTCTACAAGTTGTTCAATAATATTTTGCCATCTTCCTTTCTTCATGTCTTTATAAAATAACGTGACATTCACAGTGCAGAGCTTACACAGTTGATCCCAGGAAGATTTTATGACAGCTGGCATATAAAATTACCCTTTACCCAATGTTGTGAGAAACTCAGTCCCTAGGGCTATCAATCTGGCATCTTTCATCAGCACTGAATTTACTGCAAATGTTTTTTTGGTGCATGCAAAAAAAAGTGCTATTAAACCTTTGTGGACAGGAGTAAAAACATTCAAATAGGTGTATCTTCTGTTTACTTCTCTCAGAATTCCTCTTCATTGAATTCTGATGAGCACATTCTGCTGACTTTCAAATTCAGTCAGCCCGTGTTTGTGTGTATATCTTGTCTTAAGTCTTTATTCCGAACACTTTGGCAACGTTATCTTGCTCAAGAGCTTGCCATGCTAAAGATTTTTTTACTTATCTACTTACTGTGTAACTGTGATGTATTGAAAATGTGTTGGTAACTTATAAGGAAAGTGTAAAGGAGAAATTATGTTAATATCAAATAATTCTGTAGACAAATTTTGGTGTGTTGCATGCTCACTTTTTAGGAACAAAGTTGCTTAGGAGCATGAAGTTTTTTCGACTGTTCTTCAAATAACACCGCTCCATCTGTCCACACTGAACTACCAACATGTGGCCTTATAATCTGAGCTTTAACACTGCTTTTCTCTGTCCATGGGATTCATTTAATTTTGTTGGTTTATTTTGTTTGGAAAAAGAATATTACACTGCAGGGCAAACTGAAATTAATTCAAAATAATGTTGGGATTTAAAAAAAAAACCAACAAACTAATCCTGGTATTTGTTTTATCTTTGTAATATGAGCATGTTAGAAAGATTATTTTTTTTAGGTTCACTTGATGAATATGTCATTGAAGTAATATGGAAATTTGTAGTGTACATGTTCAAGGTTCTTTGCTAATAGTTAAAACTTGGAATTTTGGTACTTTTAGCCTCCAAGTGAGCATTTCGGCTAGACCTGCATCACAGTTCAGGTGGTGTTCATTCTGTTGTTACAGTGTTACGGTTGACTAATGGCAAAATAAACAAACTGGGGTGCATCTGTCCTGAAACTTAGAACTCTACAAGTTGTTCAATAATATTTTGCCATCTTCCTTTCTTCATGTCTTTATAAAATAACGTGACATTCACAGTGCAGAGCTTACACAGTTGATCCCAGGAAGATTTTATGACAGCTGGCATATAAAATTACCCTTTACCCAATGTTGTTTTGGTAGCTGCTTAGTTTCTTATCTGCATTTCTCTCTTTCTCATGGAAGACTGTTAAAGTCTACTATTTTAGCACTGAAGATGACATCATTAGTATAAGGAGAAATAGTAATCATTCAGTGTCTCTATGGGCTGTAAATCTCCTCCTGTCTTGGTATCATCTATCTCGGTTTGGGTTTTAAGTGAAATTAGTTTTTACCCTCTTACAGTACTGATGCTAGGTTTTATTCATGTTTGTGATATTTGGGACATTCTAATGGAAAGATGCTTTTTTTTTTTTTTTTTTTTTTTTTTTTAATGGAAACTACTACTTAAACTGGCCTTGATAATAAGAGTTTTCCGAAAAACTGATCTTAAACAAATTAGATGTCTGTTTACAGGCTCAGGTATTGCAAATATAAATTCAAATTCTAATAGAAAAACTGGTAATTGTGTGCTTCAGAAAACCTCTCCAAGATCTATTAATCAGAACTATGTGTAAAATATTAGAG